CCCATGCACTATTAGATATATGATAAATAATTTCAGCATCTAACCACTTCAAAATTTCTTTCTTTACCACTTCTTTCATAATTAGATTTAATCTACTTTGAGGATCAACCTAGGTTTATAGTTATCTTCCATTAAAATTCTGTGCATATAAATTGAAGAACTGATTCCTTTAATATCGGCTAATGTCCAACCAAAAACTTTCTTATAATTTCTTAATGTCTCCAATAATTTCTCTTCCTGATCTTTAGTTAACTATGAGGATATTATAATAGGTAAAGTTGATGAATTTTTTAAGAATGCATACTTTAAATGCGTATGAAGTATTTGCATCTCAAGCTCATGAGGTTTTTCAATTGAAGGGATTAAAGATTTACTAATTTCAGTAGTATTCAAAATCTCAAAGTTTTCCTAAACATAATTAATATCCTCATCATTTATCTCTGATGATTTTTCTTCAAAATCACTTTCAGATTCACTATCTAATCCTTCTAAATCTAATATCACACCATCTTTTTCCTCAGAAATGACTCACATTTTTGTTGATAATGTTTAACAATCATTAATCAATAATTTTCATCCTATATTTTTCTTTAACAAAGTGCATGATCAAATCTCCATTCTGCACATCAATCATAGTGTGTATGATAGCAAGAAAAGATCTCCCTAAAATAATTAGAATTTCTTTATCTTCTTCCATATCTAGCACAATGAAATCCACATGGAAGATAAATTTATCCATCTTAACAAGTACATCTTCTATAACCCATTTAGGATAAATGATAGATCGATCAACTAAATGAAGGGTTACACTAGTGGGAGAAATCTCTCCCAAGTTTAACCTTCAAAAAATGGATAAAGACACAAGATTAATGTTAGCTCCTAAATCACATAAGACTTTTCCATAACATTTTTGTCCAATTGCACGGGGTATAGTGAAGCTACCAGGGTCTTTAAGCTTCGAGGAAGCTTCTTTTGAATTATTGCACTACATTCTTAACTCAGTGCAATAGTCTCATAAGCTTCCAATTTTCTTTTCTTGTTTAATATATCTTTCATAAATTTGTCATAAATTGACATTTGCTCCAAAGCTTCCACAAACGGAATATTGATTGTAAGCTTCTTAAATATCTCAAAAATTTTTGAAAATTGATGTCTCGGTCTTTGAGGAAAAAGAGGTGGTGATATTTCTAAATTAATTTTAGTTGGAGAGACAGATTGTTCTTGGTCTTTAGAAGTAGTTTCTTTAGATATTTTTGTTTCTTCAATCTCTCTCTCAACTTCAATTTCTTTTTGACTTTTAACTTTTAATTCCTTTCCACTCTTAAGTTGAACAACTTTAATTTGTTATTGTTCTGTTCCTTTGTCTTTCGGATTTTTTTCAACATTACTAGGAAATGTTCCCTGGGGTCTGTTGCTAAGTGCGTTAGCAATTTATCCCAGTTGATTCTCAATATTTCTTATTGCAACACTTTTACTTTGCATTTGATTACCCATTTGCAAAACTACTTCGTCTATAAACAACTTCTTTTCCTTAAATTGTTGGTTATTAAACCCAAGAGGATAAGAAGGTCGATAGTGAAAACTGCCTTGATTGTTCCAGTTTCCAATTGCATTCGCTTGATTGTTCTCCCATTGCTGATTTCCATCACCAAAATTGTTCAAGTTAAAATTGGGGTGGTTTTTCCAACATGAGATATAAAAGTTAGAATATGGGTTATTGGATTTATTAGCAACCACATGTAAAGTTTCTAATGATTGAGAATCATTCGTTTGTCTTAACAAATTTTCTTCACTTGAGGTATTTGAGAAAAATTCATAACATAATTATCTAGTTTCTTAGATATCGCAGCAACTTGAGCTGCTAAGATTGTAAAAGCATCATTATCATGAATACTATCCACTCTTTTAGGATTTACCCTTTCTGAGCGCCTGAGGGCCATTGAAAATTATTTGTGGTCATTTCTTCAGTTAGGGAACGAGCTTTATCAAATGATTTTGACATTAAAGATCCTCCAGCAGCAGCATCAATTATATTATCATGATTTTATGCTTGTGGAAGGTTCTTCTCGCTATTTTGTAGGTTATATGTGTTAAAAGTAAAGCTTGATGTGGACACTTTCTAAGAAGTTCCTTAAATCGTTCCCGAGCCTCATAAATTGACTCCCCTTCATTCTGCATAAAAGAAATAATATCATCTTTGCAGTTTTTGAAAAGGAAATATTTAACCAAGAATTTTTATGTCATATCTCCCCAAGTTTTAATAGATCCAGGTTCTAACAAATTTAACCAAGCATTGGCTTTATCCCTTAACGAAAAAGGAAAAAGTCTAAGCCTAAGTCTAAGTCTAATTGCATCGTTTGATACTCCATAATATTTGAATGTAGCACATAGTTCTAGAAAACTTGCAAGATGTAAATTTGGATCTTTAGTTGGTTTCCCCCAAACTGATTATTTTATACATTTGTATTATTGCAGGTTTAAGTTCAAATGAGTTAGCCGCTACAGTAGGGATTTGAATACTTAAGTGAATTTTATCTGTCATAGAGTTTGCATAATCCCTTAAAGGTCTTTGTAAATTTTGATGTTCATTTTCATAAGTAAGAGTTTCAATTCTATTTTGTGATGTGTTTGCCATTTCTTGAAAATTGTGAAGTTGTTTTTGCTTTCAAATTCTTTTTATAGTTTTTTCTAATTCAGAATCGTAGGGTATTAAACTTTCAGATCTCGAACTTCACATACAAAAAGTAAAATTCAGAAAATAAATTACTAAAGCAATCCAAATAAAATAATTTTTTTTCTTTTTTTTAGGTTTTTGCAAATTTTTTTTTATATTTTTTGGTTTTCGTATTTTTTTATAATTTTCAATATTTGTAATTTTTTTTGTAACTTTTGAAAATTTCAAGTAAAAACTAAAACTTTTAGTAGTCCTTCAATTCAAAAATAAAGTTTCAAAGAAAATTCTGAAAAAGATATTTCCTTTTTTAAAGTTTTGTTTTTTTGTCGCTTCCCCGTCAATGATGCAAAAAACTTGACCGACCTGCAATCACACAGATATTTATATTCCTTAATATGCCAAAAATTTGACCCAAATTATATTTAGCGGCTGGTGAGAATAAATATAATTTGATAAAAATTAAAGAAAAAGTTTTCTCACTAGAGATGTTGCACAAGTATACGTATCGTTTCAAGTAATGTATAATTTTCTTTAAAAACCCCAATATCGATCTAACAGGGAAGACACAAACAAAAATATAATGAAATGAAATACATGAATTTTAACTTTAAGAGAACTTTACTTAAGACTGCAGTAACTATCTAAAGATAAAAATCAAGCTTACCAATTTCTACAAAATGCAAGCAAAAGTAAATGTATTGACTTAGACAATATAAAAAATGAGACTTTCTCTTTGCCAATAGTTCATAATCAGTGTAGGATTTTAAAATTGTTTAGAAACTTAAATGTGGTATTGTGACAAATAGGAACATACCTATTCTTTACTTATTTCGAATTGTGTAAAGAACGTTGACTAATCTAAAGTTGGTGTCGACATGTATAGTAGTGCTGTGTAGGTTCTAGTCTCGTACTCCTAGATTACCTACTGTGCCCTTTCTATTGAACCTACCAATGACCCTTAGTTCCAATCTTTAGACCAAATTAACAAAATAATCTAGTTTATTACTCTAGAAACATCAATTCAACGTCCATAAAATCTTATCTCCCTATCTATTTGCACCCGTTTCGGATGATCACCACTGTTCTTTTCAAGGTAGAATGTGATACTTACAAGCAAAGAAATCTTAGCATTCTCGGGTCTATAAGTTTCCTCAACAAATTTTAATAATACAAGTGACCGATTTGTAAAGTAAATGAATATCCTGTAAAAACATCATCACAATTTTTAGAAATAAAAGAAGTTATAAAACAAATCAAAATAACTTACTTAATTACTTCATACTGCAAGGAGAAAGAGAGAAAACTACTCAAAACACATGAGGATAACAAAACAAAACATATTTATAAAACCAAAATCCAAAGTATAAAACTTAAAGATAAAGTTACAAATACTTATCTTGAATGTTCCCCCAAACACTAATATGAAGTTCTCTGACTCCAATAACACTTACAAGACTCACAAATTCCAGAAATAACAAAGACTCATAAGGAAAAATTCTCACACACTTAACACACTCACACAATGAGGCCCTATAGATCCGACTCCCTTAGCCTCTTGGAATTAATCCATATTTATAGAACTTTGAAAATGATCAAATGTTGCTTCATACATTTCTTCAAAATTCAGTCCCATTCAATGAATCTTAGAGAAAATAACCGTGGTGCATAGACGCCCAACCGTCACGCCTAGGAGTTAGCCAAATTCTGCGTCTGGCGCCTATGCGCCAGTTCGGATGGTTAGTATTTTTTTCTTTGGTTTAGCCCATTTTGCTCATTTTTTATGTATTTTTGTTCCTTTTTACTTTTAATTTTTTTTTCTTACACCTGAAATAAAAAATATAAAAACACCACTCATTAAAGCTTATCATCCTAAAAAATGTGCATAAAAATATATAATTTTAAGGTCGATCAACGACTGCTTGTCGAAAGTCCACATTGACCACTCAGGAGTTGGAAGAAACATTTCTTCTTCTCGATATATCCGAGTTGGAGAGCGATTGGCTCGACCGGATGAATCTGATCGATTGGAATTTTTAGGGGTGATTATTCACTCATCCACTGTTTTCCATGGCATGAGGACTGCACACATGAGAATGTAACTCAGGATCATCCTTGGTAGGCCTTATGAGACCACATCACCCCTTGCATCATCCGTGAGATACCTTTGTGATTCTTGTTGGCATAATTTTGACGTACATATAGTCTTTGAGCATTGCATAATATTTTTGTTGTCTCTATAAAATGAATAAAATGTACATATATTTTTTAATCAAACATTTAAGAAAATAAAATACAATGCACTCCCACTATTTTTAACAAAATATCCTTCTACCAAAAAGCATCCGCGGACCGACGAGCTGCGCAGAAGCTCATTACCCTCAGCAGCAATCCCTCGAGCCCCATGATTGCCACGGCGGTGCACTTGGGTCCCTTTCATGGCGCACCATTCAAGCTACCCATTCCCAAGCTACACGAACCCGTCACCTCTTGCCCCACCTTACTCATCCTCTCTCACCACTTGCTTCTACCTATCGCCCGCTCAGCCAAATCCCGCCTCGCCATCAAAGCCCTTGCATCCTCCGATTCACACACCTTCTACTCCCACTCCGCCTCCGCCGCCGCCGCCATGGAATCCATCA